CCCCCCCCCCCAAAATTATATGTAATATGTAAAGAGGCTTTCACAACCTCAGACCCCACAAAGTTTGCCCACTCTGGGCTTTCAGCTCGAGGTCTCACTAGCAGTACAGCTGCAGCTGTGAGGATTTTACGAGCCTCAGTGAGAATGGAGACTCCGGACTGGAGTCTGCCTGAGCCCTCTGGAGTCTGTGAGAGCCCTTTGGGAAGAAAGAAAGGGAAAAAAACCTGCAGTCTCCCTGCCACCCCCCTGCTGGCCTGGGCCCAGGTCACAGTTAGTGCCAACCTCCCAGGGATCCCAGTACAACTGTCTCCTGCATCCTATGTGGGCTTCCCAAATAAAATTGCTAGGAAGGGAGGTCTTGTGACACAGAGATCCAGCCAGTGACACAGAGATTTGAACCCCTACTTAGCCCCTTACATTAATTTTTGGGGGGTACAAATCGGCACAGACAGGCCATAACCCTCCATACCGTATAAGGGTATGCAAATTTTAGAACACACGCAGTCGATCACATAATGGCCCCTAGGAATCAGCAGGCTACCGTTATTTCATCACTGACCTGGGCTTTTGATAGGAACTTTCCCAGGTGAAGAACTGCCCCTCCTGGGGCCGGTAGGACAGGAGTGAACTCAGGGCTGCTTCCACCCACCCACATCTCCCACGTGGTCCCACTGCAGGCTTCTCCTGGCCCTGCCTGCACCCTCCTCTCCCAGTGTCTCTCCCTCGGTCCTGCTCGGCTTGCCCGTTCCAGTTGGACAGGGATCCGCAGCTGCCTGGGTCTGCCCATGCTCTCCAGCTGGTAGGCAGGCTATGGGGGTGGGATGCAATGTGCCACTGTGGTTGTTACTGGTGCCACTGGTGCTGGTGGCTCTGGGTGCAGGGAACAGCTTGTTGGGGGGTGTGGCCGGGCTGGGCCAGGCAGGCACCCCTCGCTATGAGGTGGTGATACCCCGGCAGCTGGCCCCACGGCATGGCAAGAAGCTCCATGAGATCTCATACGTGCTGCAGCTACAGGGGCGGGACCGTGTGCTACGGCTGCAGCAGAAGGATGCCTTTGTGCCACAGCACTTCACCCTCTTCACCTATGGTGCTGGCGGTGTCCTACAGGCAGAGCAGCCCTTCCTGCAGAATGACTGCTTCTACCAGGGATATGTGCAGGGCAGCCCCACATCCATGGTGGTGCTCAGCACATGCTCAGGGGGGCTGCGAGGGCTGCTGCAGCTGCTGGGCAGCACCTATGGCCTTGAGCCTGTGCCAGGCTCCACCACCTTCCAGCACCTTCTGTATTGGTTGGAGGAGGGGATGAGTGTCCCTGGCATGCGCTGTGGCTTGACCAAGAAGGAGTTACAGCACCAGGAAGCACTGATCCCCGGCTTCAATGTCAACTCCACAGTCAGGCAGGCAGCCAGGGAGGACTGGTGGACCCACACCCGCTATGCAAAGGTGGCCATCGTGGTGGATCATGAGCGATTTGTCCATTCCAACCGCAACGAAACAAAGGTCATCAGGGAAGTGCTAGACATCATCAACATGGCGGATTCACTGTATGCCCCCCTTGGTGTGCGGGTGCAGCCACTTGGGCTGGAGATCTGGACACAAAACAATCTGATAACAATTAGTAACTATATAAATACGACACTTGATAATTTTAATAAATGGAGAAGACATGTGCTTAGGCAACGTCTCCTACATGATGCTGGTCACCTGTTTGTGCATAAGAATTTTGGATTTACGCTTGGAGTAGCCTATTTTTCCCAAGTATGTGTTAATTATTGGGCATCAGGTGTTGAATCATTCACTACTTCCAACTTGTTCTCATTTACTCTAACTTTTGCTCATGAGCTGGGCCATAACCTTGGCATGCCACATGATAAACAATACTGCACTTGTAACAGAAGTGGGTGCATCATGTATGAGTACCACGTCATCACAGATGCATTCAGCAACTGCAGTTATAATGCCTATTACAACCTAATGATGACACGTGCACAATGTCTGCAGGAAGCTCCAGCACCCGAGGCAGTCTATACTCTCAATTACTGTGGCAACAAGGTGGTGGAGACAGGAGAGGAGTGTGACTGTGGCTCAGACCTGGCATGTGGCAGAGATCCTTGCTGTGAACCCAATTGCACATTGAGTGCGAGTGCAGCCTGTGCTTTTGGAGATTGCTGCCAAGACTGTCAGATTCTTCTGGCAGGAACACTATGCCGAGAACGTACTGATGAGTGTGATCTGCCTGAGTACTGCAATGGAACTTCCCAGTGGTGCCCGAAAGATGTGTATGTGCAAGATGGTGCTCCATGCCAGCATGGTGCCTACTGTTATCATGGAAACTGCTCTACTCATGATAAACTGTGCAAATCTATCTTTGGCAATGAAGCAAGTGTCGCTGAACAAGGTTGCTTCAATGAACTGAATGCTCGAGGCGACCGGTTTGGCAACTGTGGTATAACTGGAGCTAATACATATAAGAAATGTAAAGTTGAGGATACCTTATGTGGTAGGATCCAGTGTGAAAACATGAGAAATCTACCTTCTTTGGAGAGTCATAATACTATTGTTCAAACTCCCTTTGATAATAAACAGTGCTGGGGTACAGACTATCACTTGGGGATGGAGATACCTGATATTGGATCAGTTAGAGATGGCACGCCGTGTGATAAGGACAAGATCTGTTTCAAGAGGAGGTGCATCAGAGTGGCTGTTCTGCACTATGACTGTAACCTCACCCGGTGCCATAACAGAGGAATATGCAACAGTGAAAGACACTGCCACTGTGAATATGGCTGGGCTCCTCCATACTGTCAAAATAAAGGACTTGGAGGGAGCATTGATAGTGGACCCCCTCCAGCTATCGAAGTGACTACCAGGAGCTTTGTTGTGGGAATAGCAGTAATGGGCACTATTGGTGTTCTTGTGATGGGCCTTTGTGTATATTACAGAAATGCCTTATCAGAATGCTTCAGAAGGTTATTAGCCAGAATCCACCCAAAAAAGTAAGCTGTTGCTTCAGGGAATCAAAAGGAAATCCCCAGTAGCTAACTAAGACAACAGCTGCTAATATACCAAACCCCAGCATAGAGCATGTGAGGGGAAAGTGGGATTTTATGTAACATTAAATATAGGATATTACACACTGAACCCTGAAAACATGAAAGCATATACTTTCAGTTATTTAATAACAATAAATGCAGGCTATAAATGTGTAGTCTTTTTTTTATTGCATCTTTATGGATTGGGCCCTGCAACACAGGCAGTTAGGTTAATTCTACACACCTCGGTGTAGCCTCTTCCATTTACTACTTCCTCCAGATGTTAAATCCCCAAGTGCCCTGTGAGGTAGGAAAGTAATCCTATTTTACAGATAGATAAAGAGATCTGTAGAGATTAAATAACTTGAACACAGCTACTCTCTCAGCTAAGATGATGTTCTGAAATACCATACAAAAAATAAAATATTAAGGAAGAAAAAAATAACTATTTCACTTCAGGAACTCAGTCAAATGTAGGTGGAAAACTGGCATTCCACTAAGAGTGGATAGTTCTGCTTCCTAAGGTAGGGAGACCATGACTTCTGCCAGAAGCAGCTTTTCAAAGGGAGATGCCAATGACTGTCAGACAAGAGAAGGGTTTTGGTGGGATGAGAGAAAATCGCTCCCAACCCAATTCATAACGGATGTCTTTGTGGATGTTCTGAAGCTTGTTAGAAGCTTAGCTAATATTAACTTGACATTTCACAAGAATGAGGGGTTTTTTTCTGGAAACTTTGGAGACCTTCAACATTTGTTCGGCCATCGGTTGGAGTAACTCTCACTGAGGTTGCACAAATGTGACAGAGGGCAAAAATTTGGAGCAAAATCCTCACTTTATAGGATGTTGTACTACTGAGACCTGAAATTACAAATTCTCCATACTCAGAACTGCCACTGTGCTTGATAGATGTGTATAGGTCCCATTATTTTACTAGCAGAGCAGGTCCCAGTCCATTAATGGATTTGTCTTCACAGAACCACACTGTTGTAAGGAAACATACTGTGAATTTTCATTCCTTTACATTTATTTCTGGCCATCAGTTCAGCAACAACAATGGAATGGAATGAAGTTTGTCACTCATTCCACTTCTGTGGTCTACCATGTATCAAGCATTTGACCAGAACTACTTGGTTTACCAGTATAGGGGGCCTGGAGTTGCTAGATTTTGTAAGTTGTATCCCAGCACAGCTTAGCTTCCAAGTTCAAAATGCAGATGCATACAGCCTGACAGGTGCATAGACTTCATTTTAGAGATAAATGAACAGAGGCTCAGGGAGATGAAGAGGCTTGTCCAAATGCCAGAAAAAGCAGGCAGTAGTATTAGGAGTCTAGTTTATTACTTTGACTACACTAGTGTCTAGAACCTTTGATCAGGTCAGTATTAAAAAAAAAAGCTTCTTCAGAGGACAAATAACCTAGACCTAAGACAAGGTGTAGTAACAAATAAATGGGCATGGATTACATGAGAAAAATGTGGAGAATAGAATACCAATAACTTGTTTGGAAACTATTGTATATGCACAGTTTGTAGGGATTTGTGGTAGCTTTTCTTTGAGTTCTGCTTCACAGATTGAGGAACAGATCAGTAGGATGAATTCCAGTTTGCCACCTGCTTTGATGTTTTCAGCAAGTAGGATTTGACCGATCATGTACAAGGAACAAGTCCTGACACCCAGTTCTGTGCTCCTCTGTCTAGCGATATCTTTAACTATGCATTTCACTCAGCGGGAAACAAATATTGCCCTCCTTTTATGTTCCTTAATGCCACTGAAGTAAATATAGTTGTAGACATGTAGAAGAGGACATAATTTAGTCGGATACTTATTTGCACATGCAGCTATAAACAAAGTACTGTTTTCATTTCCAAACTCTCGTGTTCCTCAGGTCAATGGTAGACTTTCAGTTAATTTCACTCAATTTTGGATCAGGCCTGTAAAGTACCTACTATGAAAGCAGCTATATTTCTTGGACCATACAGGCTAAGATAACAATATACACTTACACTGAACTAACCTATGTTTAACAAAATCTTTGTGCAGTAAGCTATGCCATCTTTCTATGATTTGTTTTTTGATAATACTAGGGCTTCTGATTTCACCATAGTAACAAGATGCTTTGGCAGGCTCTTTAGAGGCCCAACCACTGTTCTTTTACTATTTAAAAGTGCAAAGCTAATTTTAGCTCAAAGACCTACATCAATCCTAATTTCCCTAGCCTTTCTTCAGTTTACTTGAATCTAGGCCATTTTTTTAAATGACTGCCTAATGTTAGCATTGTACGTTTCATAGAATCAAAGGGTTGGGAGGGACCTCAAGGGTCATCTGGTTCAACACTCTGCATGAATGCAGTAAGGCTATTCCTAAAAGTTTGTATTTAGTGAAGTAACCAACTGTCCCAAAATTTCCCAGTCAGTCCCTGTAACAGGGAGCCTAACCTTGTTAACTGCAATCAGAGGAGGGGCAGGAGTTTTGTATTCCCCAAGGGTCAATGGCTACAGCAGCCAGCCCCAGCAAGAACACAGACCCTGAGGTTAGGGGCTGTTAAGGACCTTGGGAGGGCACAGCAAGAACAGCCAAATTTTGTAAGACCAAGTCGAAGCAGCTGAATGGGGGGGAGGAGGGAGAAGGCTGATTATCAAGCAAAGTAGAAACCCATGTATTGCTGAAGAGCCAGTTGATAAGAAGGTGTGAGGCTCTGGGGCATATAAAACCAAAGCCAAAGATCTAGCAGGAGAGTCTGACCCTGCAGGCAGCATGGACACAATCTCCTGAAGGAGAGGGCTTCAGGAGATGGACTGGCCCATCATCTAAGTGGTTACCTAGGGCTGCAAAGACAATGACAATGGGAGCTTAAGGTGTGGGGTGAGGCACGGAGCCAAAGTGGCATGGCTTTTATCTGGAAAACAATTTGCTTGTGTTTATGTTCTGACAATGCTTAAAACTGGAGTACCAGGTTGTGGCTGCAGGGGCACAGGAGATGATGGGAGAGGTGCCTGAGAGGCATTCTCTGCTATTGGGGCAGAGACCAGGAAGCTAAGGTCTGAGCTGGTGGACCTGGGTTGAAGGGTCTCAGCCAGATAAAAAGAGCTGAAGCTGGACAGGCAGAAGTCCGGAGGGCCCAGTGTTGATTTGGACATAGAAGTCTACCTTGAAGAGACCACTGAGGGTCATTTCTGAGGCATGGGTGTGATTGGGGTTGGCTGGAGGTCATGATTAGCCCCTAAGGTGATTTAGGGCTTCTTGAAGAGGGAGTACACCTGTGAGGTGAGAAACAGAGGTAAAAGGCACCATCCCAGCATTTGTAGGCAACCTTTCCTTTATTTATTTAACAGCAAGTCATGGCTGGCAAGAGATAGGTGGTGGAGGAGGTCAGGGAACGTGGACAGGCCAGTCTGGCCACTAGGGGCACCAGACTCTGGGAAGAGTGAATACCTGAGCCTGTTGCAGTCCCCAAATTTGGGACCATGGCCCAGGGTCCCTAACTAGCCCCTTGAGCAAAACTTCTGAATTAGACTTAGATCAGATAAACCCTTTTTGTCCACTAAAGCCAGGTTTTGTCCTACTGCATTGAATGCAGCTGTATTGCTTCCTATCTGGTAGAAAACCATGGGCTAATTAGCTTGTCTTCAGGTCTGGATACGGTGGCCATCACAGAGGTCAGTCTGGTTGTCCTCTGTCCTCTATTGATATGAAACCAGATGACTTTATGTCCTCTATTTTTCCCTTGAAGAGAAAATAGAGGACATAAAGATGCTGGGTTTTGTATCAATAGAGGACAGAGTAACAGAAAACTGGAATGTCCTCTATGATGGCCACCCTATCTGTAAGAGTTGGTCACCTTAATATTGAAGCACTTTAAAAAACAGTCTGTTTTTTCAGGAGTACTGATCATGAGAGCAAATGGAAGCTGCAGGATGACTGACATTTTTGAAAAGCTGTCTACTTACATAGG